TTGAATGTCATTTTCACACTTAACAGCTACCCTTGCCTTTTCTTATCATTGTTTTCCTAATCTGTTATTGAAGCCACATCTGTGTTGCTGTCATTCCTTGTCTTTGCAGATTTCCTGGAAGACTGATAGATTTAAAATGTATTCAGAAGTGCCGACACACCAAAAAAGATCTTGCAAGCTTTATTTACAGCTTACTTATGGCACTAAATTATATATCTGTTTCTATCTCATATCTGTGTTTCTATCTCTCAGACACACAAACATATTTATTTCAAAAGCCAGACAGTTACTGCATATGAACTTACACATTACTGTAAGAACCAGGATCAGGGCTGAGGCCAACCAACATGTTGCTTTTTAAAAACACATTTAGCAGTCTGACAAGCAGCATTGTTTTTACAATTCTGTATGAAAAAGTTCTTTAATCACTTAAATGGATGGCATTTAGCTATGCACTTTGGGATGAACACCCTTCGAATAGTGCAGGAGTATGAATGGATTCCCAGAAAACATTGCAGACTACAGGAACCATTTGCGCTTCAGTTTGAGATGCAGACAACACAGACTCATCTCCAACAGCTTGCGTCTGTCTTCAGCAGTGAAGGGACACAGGGCAGAAAACATTCTGCAGCCAAGAAGGCTCCACACACATTTGCACTACTCAGGTGACCCTGAGGAGACAGGTAAACCTCCAAATGGCCTCCATGATTCTCTAAAATAATGTGAATGACCAGTTGTCTGCAAAGAATGTAAATCAGAGGTCTTCAAACTCGGCCCTTTTGACTCATGGACTTCAACTCCCAGAATTTCTCAGCCAGGTACACTGGCTGAGGCATTCTGGGAGTTGAAGTCCATGAGTCATAAAAGGGCCAAGTTTGAAGACCCCTGATGTAAATCCTTCCATTCCCCACCATTCAGTCAGAGCTGAAGAAACTTCTTGGATAAGAAGTGAAACGTCTTCAAAGAAAAACAAGAAAGTACAGTTGCCTCCTGAAAAAGCACTTTTGGGACTTAGTCACTCATGACTTAGTCACCACTTGATTAGACTATTGTAATGTGTTCTACTTGGAACTGCCCTTGAAGAGCATCCAGAACTTGCAACTGGTCCAGAATGCAGTAGTGCATTAAGTTCTGGATACATGCCTATGTAATACCAGTTTTCTGAGCTTCACCAGCTCCCATTAGGCTTCTAAGTGCAATTCAAAATGCTTATTGTCATCTCTGCATAGAACAGATTATTTACAAGACTGATGTCTGTAATGATGTTCATTAAGTCAGATTCAGGAAGGTGGGCATACTTTCGTTAAACATTATTAGTTGTTTGGACCCAAGAGATATAACTTTGCAGTAATGCCCTATGGAACAGCCACCTGCCAAATGATTCAGATGGTCCCAACCCTATTAGCCTTCCATAAGATTTGGAAAACCTGGCAATTTCCCCAGATATTGGGGTCAGGATTTCAATTGAGTCCAGTATGTATGCTTTACAATGTATTATGGACAAGGTTTGCTTGGAGCTTCAATCACATTGTGTCATGTTGAGCTCATTTTATTCTACTCCATTTTATGGTTTTCATGTATGTATTTTTCAATTTTATTGTGATACTTTTATCAATCTATGTTGTAAGAAATTTTGGAACGGCACTGCTGGAAAACAAGATGGTTACACATTAAATGATCACATAAACAGAATGTAAAACAATTAAAAGGAATATAATTGTTGAGATTTTTTGTTATATTCATAGCAAAGCAACTCTGTTCATCTGTTGCATTCTCCATTTTTTAAAATCAATTTCTGCCTGTTAATTGTAGCCATGGCTAACTCATCAAACTAATGCCTTGGGAAATCTGACACGAGTAATATCATTAGTAGTATTTAAGTTGATTTAATAACATTAATGAAAATGGTAAACATTACCAGAAAAGTAAATGATCCACTATATTCTGGTGTGAATGAAGTGTTAGATTATTCTACTGTTCTACTAATGCAGCTTGACAAATCTAATTGGCTTCAGAGAAGCATTACTGACTGAGATGACAAGGAATGAGGGAGAGTGCTATAATATTCCATAGTCGAGAGATCTATGCTAGACAGGAAGTTGCATTTATTCAGTAAAATGACGGCTAGTCCTAGTTTAAGCAGGGATCAGCTATTTCCTGGATTTATACATAATTTTCAAAAATATTTTTGAACACAATATAGGTTGGATCCATACATTCATAACCATTTTACTGTGATTTCAACTATGATTAAGCCACAAATATTCATTCATTCATTTTAGCCTGCCACAATGACTCTATTGAAAATGTGGTTACAATCAGTTATTTGTAATAAAATATTTACAGTATCACCAATATCAGTCAATAAAATGATCCCAGGTTATAATCACAAAATCACATCAAAAAATATAAGTTCAAAAAAGAAAAGAGAAAACAAGAAAATAATTAAATTATTGCACTTAACTACCAAATTCTGATATGAAAACTGAAGAAATATACAAATGCAAATATAATCATGCTGAAGATCCACTGGAGTCTTATGTTGATTAATCTTCATCAATGCCATTGATTTTAATTCTCCTAAAACTGATTTCTGTGTTCTTGGGAACAAACGTGTATGAGCAATCTCATTTATGTCTGAGTTAAATTAAACTACAATTTGCTATTATCATGGTTTGTTGACTAAATGAATGTCAAATCAAATGCTTGATACAAGGTGTTAACTAGTCTCAAATTATTTACTTTTATTCCAATCCTATGCATACCTACTTAGAAGTAAGTCATACAATGTTCATTGAGTTTATTCCCAGATTAGTCTGTATAGATTACAGCAGTGATGGCGAACCTATGGCACGGGTGCCAGAGGCGGCACTCAGAGCCCTCTCTGTGGGCACGCACGCCGTCGCCCCAGTCCTAGGCCTTCAGCTGGGTTTTATAAAACCTTTTTGCTTTAGGCCTCCGCCGCCATGTACCCAAAAAAAAGGTTCAATCAATCAGTCAATTTCAACTTCTCGGGGAAAAAAAAAGATCTGGCAAAGTTGGAATTGATTGATTGAACTTTTTAGTCCCACCCAGTCTGCTGTTACCACCACAGCCACGCCGACCCAATGGGCCACACCCACCCAATGGGCCACACCCACCCGGCACCCGACGATGCATAAGTGGGTTTTGGGTTGCAGTTTGGGCACTCGGTCTCTAAAAGGTTCGCCATCACTGGATTACAGCTTCAGTTTAATAAGTATGTGATTTGGTGGGGATGAGTTTTATCAATGAAACAGTATCTTTTTTCCTTCTGTTATGAATGGTTAACAACAACAACAACAAAACAACAACAACAACAACAACTATTATTATTATTATTATTATTATTATTATTATTATTATTATTATTATTATTATTTTGGAAGAGACCTTTAGTCCAACCCCCTGCTCAGGCTGGAAACCATTTCAGACAAATGGCTGTCCAATCTCTTCTTCAAAACTTCCAGTGTTGGAGCATTCATAGCTTCTGGAGGCAGGTTGTTCCACTGATTAATTGTACTAACTGTCAGGAAATTTCTCCTTAGTTCTAGGTTGCTTCTCTCTTTGGTTAGTCTCCATCCGTTTCTTCTTGTCCTGCCTTCAGGTGCTTTGGAGAATAGCTTGACTCTCTCTTCTTTGTAGCAACCCCTGAGATATTGGAACACTGCTATCATGTCCCCCCTCGTCCTTCTCTTCATTAGACTACTAGACATACCCAATTCCAGCATCAGTTCCTTATGTTTTAGCCTCCAGTCCCCTAATCATCTTTGTTGCTCTTCTCTGTACTCTTTCTAGAGTCTCAACATCTTTTTTACATTGCAGTGACCAAAACTGGATGCAGTATTCCAAGTGTGGCCTTACCAAGGCATTGTAAAGTGGTATTAATACTTAACATGATCTTGATTCTATCCCTCTGTTAATGCAGCCTACTACTGTGTTGGCTTTTTTGGCAGCTGCAGCACACATTTATCCATAGATTTGTGGATGTACACGTAAAATAAATTTGTCCTGAATTTTTATCCTTACCTATTTGTTTTCAATTGCTCGGAAGCACAAATACTTATTTGAGCTAAGAATTTCTATAACAGAACTACAAATACTTGTTTCCAAATTAATAAAAGAATTAGCGGATAAACTTTCTATGTGGGTAGCAAATGCCCATGAACAAATCCATTATGCAGCAGCCTTCCGAGTATAATATACATGTGAACTTATCCATGAACATGAATAGAGACTGCTTATATCCATTTGTATGGCTATAAATTAAAACTTAGAAAACAGCATTATGTGAACCTTGCAACATTTGAAATGAGCCATATAGGTGTAGATGCAAACAATAATACTAATTAGCATTCAAAGAACACATTTATGTCCTTTGTCCTACTGGCTGATTCTATCCAACTGTCAAAGGTTTTAAGAGATGGATTTGTCAGCCCCCCCCCCCCGACAATTCTACAATTTTATTTATCAAATTTAGATACTGCCCATCTCACTCTCAATTAGAAGGGATATTAGTTTAATTAAATTTCAATTTTAATGAAACTCAACTCTATTATCTGGCCATAATATCTACATTTCATCAACTGTAGCCTCTCTTTGAAAGAAGCTTGCTATATGCTTTTTAAACTTTCATAAACATCACACGAATAATATTTTACCACTACTCCATTTTTAGTGGGTTCCCCTACTAAATGTGTATTACTATCAGTCACTAATTGGTCTGATCAGAACGTTTTTAATATTTCTACTGTAGATAGGCCCAGACCCCCTTCGCACAACTTACAGTGTAAAAGCTCAGCTATTGCGCATGATTTAATAAATCGCGGGGAAGCAAAGGAGGCGCTCGGGAGATGGCAGCAACCCTGCCTCGGGCTCCTGCAACTGCGCCGTTTAAACTTTGCTTTCAAGGGGGTTGACTATGCCCGATTTCAGCGGCACCCATTGCCTCTAGGACCCAGCGGGCTCCGGCGCACTTTTTTCAGGGAGCCGGCGGGCTGCCGCCGTTCATGCCCATGTATGTGCCGCGGTGGCTGACTCGCCGGAGCCGGTCGCTGCGGGAGCCGGTGCTCCATTAATAGCCCCGCGACGCGCCATCCTCCCGGAGCCGCGTTACTTGAAGGCAGCGGCGCCCCTGGAGTCATGCGCGCCGCGGCCCCTTCCCAGATGGAGGGGCTCAAGAAGTTCCAGAGCCCCGGGAAGGGCCGGGGCCTGCGGGCGCTCCGCCGCTTCGTCATTGGGGAGCAGCTCTTCTCTTGCCCGGCCTTCACTTGCGTGCTGACCGTCAACGAGAGGGGCAACCATTGCGAATGCTGCTTTGCCAGGTACCAGGCAGAGGGAGACGGGCTGCCGGCCGCCCCCATGAGCCCCACCACGATGCGGTGGTCCCTCGCTTCCGGGTGGCTCCCGAGAGATGTGAGCCGGTGGGAGTTCGAAAGGCCTTCGTGGAACTTGCGCCTCTCGTGCTTTAATATATATAGATATATATCTCCTCCTCCCTAAACCCGGATGTTGGCTGTGGGTTGTGGCTAAGTGCAGCCACTTCCTCCTCCTTCACCTTGTGTGCTTAATGCAGTTGTCAGATAGACAGCAGCTCAACAAGTGTGTGTGTGTGTGTGTGTGTGTGTTTGTTTGTTTCCTGGTCCTGCAAGGGAGACACAGGTGTTCTGAACAGATTCAGTCTCACCTGCTGCTGTTGTTTTCTATTGTCCTACAGCTGAATTGTGGCCCTAAAATGGGACCTGGGGTGTAATTTCATTCACTGCCTGTTTGTTGTATTCTTCCTTCAGCCCATGCCATGAAGAGCACTCGGCATTGTCAAATAAAACACCTACGCGGGTTGGGAATAGTTTGAGTTGATTTTGGTGCCTCAAGTTGATGTCAGTTTTTAGCAACTGCTTAAATAGACTTTCTCTAGGATGATCTATCCCCAACTGGGTCCTTTGGGAATTTTTATGCTTTATCATCACCACTGTTAATAGGGTCCAAGCACTTTGCTGTCAGTCTTTAAAAAAAAATCTTTCCCCATATTATGATCTCCAGAAAATTGAGTCATTGCATAATGTGTCCAAAATATAAGTTAAGTCTGGTCATTTAGGCCGTGGGTTCAGAACTCTGCACTGCATTTATTCTGTGTTTCATTTGTTTGAGGACTGACCACAAAGGGTCTCGGCAATCTTCTCCAACACCAAAGTTCAGAAGCTTCAATATTACTAATGTCCTTCAAAGTTCATGCAGTGTTACAGGAAAAAAAATATTGCATGCATGTTTCTGATCTTTGTATAAACATGTTACAACATCAGTATATCTTTTCCAGGCCTTCATAGCTACTTACTTAGGCTTGGTGCATTTCTTGCTGCTTCCTTTACTGTTGATCTGATAGAATCATTCTACCACTTCTATATCTTCATTGTCAATTCTAAATTTTATAAGTCCCATTTTTTCATTGTGTTCCTTGACATTCATTAGCTGAACTTGTGTCAGACTCGCAATGTCACGTGACGTGTCGCAAATTTTTTTGCCATTGCCGGCAATGGGGTGGGCACGGTTTCGCTATGATGCATATGGCCCATGGGCTGGCAGTTTGAAACACTTGTTGTAGACCATTTCCATTTTTAGATAATCAATAAAATAATATTTTAAATTGGCTCATCAGAATTAATTCTCCAATGTCTTTTTGTGTTTACTTCAGTCGCTGACAATGTCCAATTATAGAAAATGGTATATTTCCATTTATAAAGTCTGCATGTATTTGATAAGTTGGACACAATACTTGAGGATACAATGACTCTTCATAATATATAGATGGTAGCTAAATCTTATTTCAGTGTAATTAAAATGAAAGTGGCCTACGCTATATTTAAGAAGAGCAGGCAACAGTATCATTTGCTTATGATGGCATGATGGGTGGGAGTGGCAAGGAGCAATCTCTATGTGGAGATATTTGCAGAAAAACTAAATATACCCTTACTGCTTCCATAGCTATAAAGAGGCTAGGTAGCAGCCAGGTACTGCTAATCAAGGGCCTTTGATCGATTGATCAACAGCAAGCGTGACCATAAAAGCCGAAGTTTTAGGAGTTTGCTGGTCTCCAGCATTGAGGTGTGTGTTAATACAATGCCAAAGAGTAAAGACATCAAGGATGGTAGAGAAGCAATTGTTGCTGCCCATCAATCTGGGGAAAGTTATAAGACTATTTCCAAGCAATTTAAAGTCCATCATTCTACAGTGAGGAAGATTATACACAAGTGGAAAACATTCAAGACAGTAGCCAATTTTCCCAGGAGTGGACATCTCAGAAAATTCACCCCAAGGTCAGACTGTGCAATGTTCAGAGAAATTTCAAAAAAATCCAAGAGTTACATCTTAGACTCTACAGACCTTAAATGCTAAAGTTCATGACAGTACAATTATAAAAAGACTGAACAAGTATGGTTTGTTTGGAAGGGCTGCCTGGAGAAAGCCTCTTCTATCTAAAAAGAACATGGTGGAATAGCTTAGGATTTGCAAAGTTGCTTTGATTTTGCTGGATCTCATGGCTTCTCATATTTTCTGTGCATCATTTAAGTTCAAAGAATCACCATGGGAACAGAGCTTAGTAACAGCACTGGATATCATAGAGGAAAATCATAATATTTGGCAATGTTATGCTTAGCTGATAAGACCATAAAGCAATTTTCAAAAAGCAACTAGAAATAAATGAAGAGCAGAGGTAGATATAATTTGGGGGCTGGTGACCTGCTTAAAAATTCAAAAGCTCGTGGGGGCTTTTACAAAATGGATCTAACAAAAATGTCAAGTAGCAGTGAATGCAATAACATCAAGAGAAATATCTGCAGGCAGAGTGGTGCCCATGGGCCGAAAACTGCCCACTCTGGTCTAGAGAATAAAGCTCATCTTGGCAACTTTTGATAATAATGATAATTGTTATATGTAACTATGAGGCTGCCCTTGTCCTTATAGGGGTTACTCGTTTTTTTTGCATGCTGCAGTACTAAAGGCTATTATTGTAAAGAAAGCATGACCATTTTATACTTACCTCTATTTAGGAAAGAAGGATTGTCCCGTTGTGGAAAATGCAAGCAGGCTTTTTACTGCAATGTAGAATGCCAGGTGAGTATCCCAATAAATCTGGATTTTTTTTCTCTTAATGCTGTGTTTCTGAACGTCTTTATTTCAGTTAATAATTTCCAGGTACTGTAGTTTGGAGAGGGAAACAGGGATTGAAAACTTCAGCGTAGCACAAAGAAAGGCTGCAAAGAAATTCCCCCTTGCTGACTGGGGAATTCTGGGAGTTGAAGTCCACCCAAGTTAAAAGTTGCCAAGGTTGAGAAACACTGCCATAACGAGTCACTGAGGATCAGCTGTGATGGATCATAGGACTGCTGAGCCATTAGATTAGTTGACTGCTACATGGCCCTAATTGCTTCAAAAGCTTCTGCCTACTTTTAGGGAACCAGATGGTTTAACGTTATTTCACTAAGCCGATGAGGAAGCTTGTGCCTATCTGAGCAATCGGAAATAAAGACTAGATTTAGCTTGGGGAGGGGGTGAGTGGGTGGGGAGAATCTGTTTGCAAATGTACTTCATTGCTGCTAATAATAATAGTGTGTGTTTACAAACCAACTGTGCCTGGTAGTAGTTATATACATATTACATGCACAAAGAAGTACTATTAGGCTAATTTTGAATATTTATTACCACTTTGGAAACTTTTGTGCACAAAATAGAGGGTTTTTAACCTTACGTTAGAAGTGTTTTTCAGTTTAGAGCATTCATATATAATTGTTGTATGTGGATTTCCACTGCCACATTGAAGATTTCTGTTTATATTCTAGATTTAAACTAGTCTGTCTGGAATTAATTTACATTGCTAAGAGCTTATATATCAGGAAAGTGAAGTCTAAGAAATAATATGAAAATGGAATTGAATCAAGCAAAATTAAATTATGATGGCTGGTTTATCCTAGAAATATTGCTATATAGATTGATATTTTTGTAAAATCTTTGTTATTGATATACTAAGATGCTTCATTGCTACTTTTTATAAATGAATTGGAGTCTATGTATCTTTTCTCTTCTTAGGCTAGCAGAGAATGAGAAACAGAAGCAAACTTCACTTTTCTTCATTTTGAACTAGAATAGTATGATGTACAGAAGCAAAACTGACAGTAGATTATTTAAGGATAGAAAGTAAAATGATAAACATAATAAATTCTTAGCCTATAGAGAAATTAAACCAGTGGGGAAGCTAATTGTGCAAATGCTTGGATGAATATATAATTTGTTTATTGTCTGAAATTAGACTATATGGAGATTAGGAGACAGTATCATGACAAAAGACTTACTATCAAAATAGCCTTACCTATGGTTATCACATTCCCAGACAACAATTTCAGTCTTCTTTTTACCACTTTCTTTTTCTACCTTTCATTTTTTCCACCATCTAATATGACTGTCAAGGAAGACCAATACCATTCTTTCTTCTCAATAGATGGTTTGCAAAAGGCTTTTAAAATTAGGCCAAGGCCATCCCTTTCACTCCTCTTTCTGATAGACTCTTTCTGATTCTATCTAGAACTGACACCAAACTGAACTATTCAGAATTGACAAAAACAGAGAAGAATTTGTTGTCCATATTAGAATTGCTGTTTGCACTCTGAATTTTTTCGTTGCTGTTGTTTAAACACCAAAATTGATGTAATGTTTTTTGAATATGTTCTGTTTTTCAATAGTTGCATAGTTCAAAAGTCAGATAAGCTGACTTACTTTTGTATATCTGCAGGCTTCTTATTTATTTTACTGTCTGGAAGGTTTTTGTGTATTAGTCATGGTTCTGACAGATGAAATTCTTTAAAAGAACTTCGAGGCATTGTTTACCTTAAAGAATCTTTAATTCAAGAATCAAAGTATCGGCACTACATAGTTAAAGCCAAAAACTGAATTCCCCCCCTCCCGGGGCACAAAGTATCAACGCACAATTCCCTCCTCCAATTAACAGTCATAAATCGCATTCCCCAATTAGCTTGAAGCGCGGGCTTTCTCCCCAGCTCTCCAGCCCGCCAAATCTTTATCATCTCTGGGTGCAATAACCTTGATTCCCACGGCTGAGTTATTATTGTTATAACTAACTGGACTCTCATCCACATCCCCCCTCCAAGCATCATCTAACTCTAAAAGTGAAAGATAAAATATGACTACATTTCCATCTGTTGTCAGAGCAAGAACATCTGATGTTAGCAGCGTTAACATCCAGCCCCCCTTATAAAAAGGACAAATCCTGAAATGTAAACAAAAGCACAGATTAGGGATTGCCTTTTGGTTTATTAGGGTGTTTCTTATATAATCTATTAATGAGTCTGTCAGCTTTTACATCGCTAGACTTCACCCAGGTGGCCTCAGACAACGAATATCTGTTCCATTGCACTAAGTACTACAATTTCCCCTTAAAAATTCTAGAATCAAGAATACGCTTTACTTCTTAGTGAGTCTGTCCTGCCACCATGAGGGGTCCAGATGCCTTCTTAGGGGGAGTCTTAAAGTGGAACCCCGAAAAGATTTCAACAGGCTACAAAGGAAAACAGGGTGAACTTTTCCTAAGAGCCTAGGAAGTTTTAATTCCACTGTATGGAATTAAATTAATGATCTTTACAATGGGGAAGGGTCCCAAGTACTTTGGTCGTAACTTCTTACTAGGTAACTTAAGCCGTAAATATTTAGTTGACAGATAAACCTTTTCCCCAACTGGGAATGTTCTTTGAAGAGCCCTTTTTTATCTGCCTGTTTTTTGTATGTCTCGGAAGCCTTTTTCAAAGCAATATTTGTGGTTTTCCAAACTTCTTCCCACCCCCTCACCCATTGATCAAGAATCTGGGAAACGGAGGGTCCTTGGGGATATTCGGGTATCAGGCTGAACTCTTTTCCTGTGGCCACTTTAAAAGGTGTGAAGCCAGTGCTGCTGTGAACAGAGTTATTGTAAGCCACCTCTGCAAAAGGGAGGAGGTCAGTCCAGTTTGTTCGTTGATAATCAACATAGCATCTGAGATACTGCTCCATCATTGAGTTTGTGGATTCAACAGCCCTATTAGTAGACGGGTGAAAAGCAGATGATAGTCCTTGAGATGAGCCAATTAGTTTAAGAAAACTCCTCCAAAACCTAGCTGTGAACTGCACCCCCCCGTCAGAGATTATTCGTTTAGATGTGCCATGCAGTCTGTAGATGTGTTTCAAGTACATTTTGGTTAATCGTTGGGCAGACGGGAGCCCTTTGCAGGCAGTGAAGTGAGCCTGCTTTGAGAACAGATCTATCACAGTCCAGATGACTGTATTTCCCCTACTTTCAGGTAGATCTACTATGAAATCCATAGCAATTTCTTCCCATGGTTGGGAAGGGTCTGCCATTGGTTGCAATAACTCAGGGGGTTTCCCTGGAATTCTTTTCATGGTGGCAGATACAGCACAACTCTGGACATAGCTTTCCATGTCCTGTTTCAATTCCGGCCACCAGAATTAACAGCAGATGAGGTGTAGTGTTTTTAAATATTCAAAGTGCCCAGCCTGTTTTATGTCATGGCTATGTCGGAGCGTGTTAAGGCGGAGGGTCTCTGGCAAATATAGTTTTCTCCCTTTGTAAGCCAAACTGTCTCTGCATGTTAGGGAGGTTTGATTGTCCTTGAACCAGTGGTCGATGAGGAGCTCTTGTTTTATTTTCTTTGCCCCAGGGTCATTGGGATTAGGGGCTCTTGGAGGTGGGACTCTGTGCGGTGTACGCTGAGAAGCGGTTTGTGGATTGGAGATAATTGCCTCATTAACCTCTTCACGCTGGCTTATGTACTGGGGCAGTCTGGATAGAGCATCAGCTAAGAAGTTTTTTCCTCCCGGTATGTACTTTAGGGTGAAGTTAAAATGGTTAAAGTACTGCGCCCATTGTACTTGTTTCAGGGATAATTTGCGGGGAGTCTTTAGTGCTTCTAGGTTTTTGTGATCAGTCCATACCTCGAAAGGCACCTTACTCCCCTCTAGATAGTGTCGCCAGTTTAATAGAGCCCAGTGGATTCCGAAAGCCTCCTTTTCCTACACAGCCCACCTCACGCATCCAGTGATTTTTTTTTTGAGGTGTAGGCCCAGGGTTGTAGGATCCCACTCTGGTTCTTTTGCAGTAGCACAGCTTCGACAGCCATATCGCTGGCATTGGCTTGAATCACAAAGGGCTTCCCTGGGCAAGGATGTTTTAAGACTGGTTCGAGCGCAAATAGTCTTTTTAAATCTTCAAAAGTGGTTTGACAGCTCATAGTCCACGCTAGTAGTTGGCTCGGAAACAGCTTTCCTCCCCCTTTGCCTGTTTTTAGTAATTCCGTAAGGGGCAGGGCAATTTCAGCGGAGGGGATGAATTGACGGTAGAAGTTGGCAAATCCCAGAAAGCTCTGGAACTGTTTGCGAATCTTTGGGGGTTGCCATTCAGTTACGGCTTTCACTTTGGTCGGGTCCATTTCAATGCCCTCGCTGGAAATTCTGTAGCCAAGATAATCCAGTTGGGTCTGGTGAAACTCACACTTTAATAGTTTAACATAAATTTTGGTGTTCAACAGTTTCTTTAGCACTTCTCTCACTAGTTTTACGTGGTCAGCCATATTCGTGCTGTATATCAGGATGTCATCAAAGTACACCAAAACCCATTTGTATAAATGGTCATGTAGTACCTGATTAATCAGCTGCATGAAGACAGCCCCTTGCAGACCAAAAGGCATGACTTTAAATTGGTAGCTTCCCATGGGACAGTTAAAAGCAGTCTTCCACTCATCTCCCTCCTTTATCCTCACCCAGTAATAAGCTTCTCTCAAGTCCAACTTAGTAAAGACCCTCCCCTTAGCCAGGTGTATCAGTAAGTCCTTCAGGAGGGGGAGGGGGTATTTGTTTTCCATGCTCATCACGTTCAAACCTTTATAATGTAGCAAGAGACAAAGCGACCCGTCTTTTTTTTCTTTAAATAACATCGGAGCTCCCACGGCAGACTTGGCCCGTTCGATAAATCCCCTTGCTAAGTTTTTGTCCACATACCGCTGCATCTCCTCCATTTCAAGGGGGGACATAGCATACATTCTCAGTCATGGGAG